AAAACATGACCGGGACACCGTCACAACACGACCGGGACACCATCAAACATGCCCGGGACACCATCACAACATGACCGGGACACCATCACAACATGACCGGGACACCTTCAAAACATGACCGGGACACCATCACAACATGACCGGGACACCATCAAAACATGACCGGGACACCATCAAAACAGGACCGGGACACCATCACAACATGACTGGGTCACAATCAAAACATGATCGGGGCACCATCAAAACATGACCGGGACACCAGCATCACATGACCCGGACGCCATCAAAACATGACCGGGGCACCATCCGCCCACCAGCTCTGACGGTGACCCGACGGCGCCCGTCCGCCTATTAGTTTTGCAAGACCCCATAGCAGGGCTATTGGGGAACAAACTTGCACCATTGCTCAGATCATCGGTGAGCGTTGAATCGGAGCGTCATAGGGTTTGAACTATCCTGAAACCATGAGAGGCTCACGAAGACGTTCCCCAGGAGAGAATTGAATTTAGAGGGGGATTAGAGGGGGTGGGTGAAAGAGTGACTAGGGCGTACACGGTAGAGGTGCAGACCGCTAGTGTCTTTTATGCGCAGAGTCTTATCCTCTTGCTCTTTGAGCCTTGAAGCAGTCAAGTATGGACACACTATATCGGCTGTTGGAGTGGAACCCTGTACAGGTAGGCTCTACTTTTCAGCAGGCACAAGATTCATGTCCACTCCTAGCTGATTGCGTATGTCGCACACTCTTTTTCTACTGCAAGGCTAAAACAGTCCAGCTAGCTCTAGCAACTTAAAAGAAAACTACGGTGCCATGTACTTACCTAATCCAGTGTGTTTCACACTATAGAGAAGGTAATCTCAAAGCTACTAAATACAGTGAGGGAGCAATAGCTGACTCACCTCAAGTACAAAATCAAAACGATAATGTACCTCGGCTGGAGACTGTATTTTTCACAGGCGGAGATACCATGTACCGGCGCTCACTAGCTCTTTATGGCCTGAGCTAAATCAAACTAAAAAGGGAAAGCGGCTTTTTCTCTACAGAGACCTATAAAAGAATCAAACGACACTCGCGTAACAAGGAAACAAAAACTCAAGACCGCGCAAATGCAATTAATTAAAATGCCTTGCAAAATGCAAGGAGCGTACGGTCCGAGGAATAATCTTCTCGTGACGTGGTCTCGACCGCTTTCATCCACAGACAAAATAAAACTGCATCAAAAGGACTCTCTTTCACATTCACATCAAAAACACAAGAAGGAGATACCGGCAAATGTATGTACAAAAAAAATCTTGCACTACAATTGCAAATCATGAAATGACTTAATCATCAACCATGACTGGTTGTCCATTAGAGGTCACTTCATAAGAGCGGTGGTGATAGATATCATCAGTTATGTAAAACTGTCCATATCTACCTGCTAAAGTTTAAAACTTCAGCCCGGCAACTTAAAGTCAAGCTTGGAAGCAAAGTATCAACTGTAACCAGAAGTATCTTCACTTCCTAGCCATCATTTAAATTTCAGCCTTCGCTCAGGAATTATGCCGCTGCAGACGATGAAGCTGCTTGATCAGAAGTTGGCGGCCTTCCTTTCTTTCTATTCTGCTTCTGTCTCTCCTTCCTCCGCAAGTTCGCCTCATGAAGAGTTGCTCCCATGCGATACTGTCTTCTGTCTCCAGATGAAAAGGAAGCTGGTCTGAGTGAAATAAACATTGGACCATGACTGTCCTCGTCAGAGGGTCTTGAGCACATAACCTCCGTGTCAATCATAGCAAAGTTCTCTGAAAAATTACAGATGAACTCCTTCGTGCTCACTGTGGAATTTTCATATTCCTCTTCACTCATTGAATGACCCCATTCAACAATGGTAGACAAACATGTATCGCCAAGCTGTGATCCTTGGTATTCTTCTTTTTCAACAGTAGAATATTCTTCCCAGAGTTTATCAAAGTAAACTTCACACTTCTTGAGGACCTGTGAAGTTGAACTGTAAAATGTTCTGGGAATAGGTGCTTTGATACCAGGATCTGCTTTTACACGAGCTTCTGAAAACCTGCGGATCCAATGCTGCATGGTGCTGTAATAGTAGTTAGCCATTGGCTGCCTTTTGTACCCAGACATTCTGTAGGCCAAACTATTTGCATCACCAGAAATGATGTCCACCTCATAGACAAACACTCGTAAAGCATCAATGCTGTCTGTTCTCCTGTCAGTAGGTGGGCATCCACAGCACGGTGTGTATCAACATGATAATTACAGACTCTGATGGTATGCATGTTCGCTCGAGTAAGTGGAACACACTTGTCCTCAGGACCATAGTCATCAAATTCAAAGTCTGCATCCTTGAAATCTTGACGAGGCCTTGTTTCTCCAAAACAAATCTCGTAGATAGCCCAAGTTACATCACGCTGTTCACAGTGACCAAGTTCTTGATCATGTCCAGCAATGATCTTGACATATCCACCTGGTGCCAATCTAGCCA